TTCCGGAACTTCCCCCTGGGAAACTTTCCTAAATGTTCACAGGTGGTATTGACAGTTCACCCCGCAAACATCAGCTAAGCTTTCTCCCGCCTCCTGCCCAAGCGACAACCTGTAAGGGCCTCCCACCTGTAGCCAGTCTCTCTCCACCCCCGCCGTGCGCTCCAGACTCCCCATTGAGTACAGCCCAGGTGCAGGAGCTGAGCGTGTGAATCCGGCACAAAAGCCCTCAGCAAGCACTGGCTGGCACTCTAAAGCGCTAACAAACTCACCGAGCGCCGAGGTATTCGGGTTGAAGTCAACGCCGGTGACTGCCGCTTTATGGCCTTTAAAGGGACGAATTAAGATAGGATCCTCCTGGAGAAGAAGTTGTAATAGCTGAGAACTCCGTTTTGAGCCATCGCCCGATTTTTGTTGTCACTATCAACCTGGAACTCGCCATCTTATGATCTCGCCAAGATCAGGACTGAAAGGGGGCAGCTTCTCTAATACAATTTATATATCATGGGAAAGCAGCGGCATGTTTGCGCAAAATAAAATTTAACTTTCAATATAATAGTGGTGAAGAAGGAGAATATTGAAAAGCATCCGAAAACCTAGAACGCTGCTCCAAGGTTGCATTACTCTGAAAAGTGAAGTGACAGCCAGGGTGCCCAAGTACAAGTGCTGGGCGCTACATGGTGACACGAAAAAAAAAAAAACCCGAGAAGACAGGACCTATAAAGAATGTCACTATAGCACAAGTGCTCCTAAAAAGCACCTTGTCGTCCCTATGGAAACTGGAGCTGGATGACAGTAAAACGCCATGCAACACACGAGACTGACATAACAAATCATAAGTTTCAGGGGGTAGCGGAGTTAGACTGTACAAGATAAACTTTAAAAACAGCAAATGGTCTGGTAGCACTTTATAGACTGACAAAATATGTAGTTGGTATCATGCGCTTTCGTCGGCACACGGACGTTTTACCATCTACAAGTTTTGTCAGTCTATAAAGTGCTACCAGACCATTTGCTGTTTTTAAAGTTTATAACAAATCATATAAAAGACTCCTCCTCCCTCCCCCTCCTTTAAGGTACTGTAACGCTCCTCTGACCAATCCAAAGGAGAGGGCATTTGCGTGTGGTTTGGATAGAGCAAACAAAAACCTTTTCTGAGCTGTTGGACACTCCCACCCTCCCTGTTTCAAAGGCACGGGTTTTCATTGGCAGAGCGAGCAAGAACTAGCTTTCCCCCAAGTTAGCTATGGGCCCACGGCCTCTTCCAGTCCCCCTGCCGTTCGCCCCCTGACGAGCGTCCATCACCCCGCTGCCCACCCATCACCGTGACAGCCGAAGAGAGGAAGCGAAAGGAACCCGCGGAGCTTATCGCCTTCCCAGGGAGCGGCGGGTGAACGGGTTACGTGCTCCAGCGCGGCTCGCACACCCCGGGGGACTTCAGCCTCCGCTCCGTGAAACCAGAGCTCAGCCCGAGACAGGGCCGCAGGTCCCGGGCTAGGGGGCCGCGTTTGGAGCAGGGCCAGGCCCTGGCCCCGCAGGAGAGGGCGAGTGCTCAGCTGGAGATCGGTCCGCGGCCTGACAGGCTGCTCTCTGGGCCCCCGGGCGCCCGCTG